CCATCCATCCATCCATCCATCCATCCATCCATCCATCCATCCATCCATCCATCCATCCATCCATCCATCCATCCACCAGCCCGTCCGTCCGTCCGTCCGTCCTGATGTGCTTGGTAAATAGAAATCAGGAATACAATCATTTGTTTCCGTAAAAGAAAAATAACAGGGTGGTTTTCGTTTGTTTATTTCATTTGTGGTTTGAAATAAAAACTATCTGAATATAGATGAACCGCTGATGTCAAGAGATTTTGCTCCAACATTTCCACCATTGATCTCTGATGTTGTCTATGGTGTCAGACGCACTGCCATCCCCTGCAGCAAATAAACACCAATAAACCTTTTATGTTTAGCTAAATGAGAGCAATAGGCAGTTATGTAAGCGAGGATAAATGGGAGGAGAATTTACTGATAATGATGATGATGATGCGTGCCTCTTTGCTCCGCAGCATAATGCAGGAGGTGCGAACACAGTTCAACCCAGAGGCCGTCCTGATGCAGCTGGGTGCCGACACCATGGCGGGCGATCCCATGTGCTCCTTCAATATGACCCCTGTAGGGGTGGCCAAATGTCTGCAGCATGTGTTGCAGTGGCAGCTACCTGCTCTGCTGCTGGGAGGAGGTACTCCATTTTATTATTTTATCTTGAACCTACCTGTTATTTAATGAAGGCCCAGGATGAGTGCAGCATATTCTTTGCGTGCGTTTGAATTTTCCTCACCCAGGCTCACACACAGCGGCCTGATTCAGACTCCGCGGCCCTTCGGCCAGATGATAGCGACTAATTATACGACACAATGAAGCCATTTTACTCCACTACAATCCGACCTCTCTTCCTCCATCCCCCCTCCTTGTCCTACATACTTTTTCTCTGTGCTATATCCTCCTCTCCCTCTGGCTTCTTTTCATCCTCTTGATTTTATTTTTTTTTTTCAACTCAATCCACTCTCTTCATCGTGATGAAGAGGTCACGACTGTTTCTGCTCGGCCATATCATCCCAGTAGCTTTAAGGTCTTTTATTTTACTCTCTTCCTGCCTCTCTGTCTCCAGGAGGCTATAACCTGGCTAACACGGCCCGCTGTTGGACGTTCCTAACCGCCACTGTCCTGGGGAAGACGCTGTCCTCCGAAATCCCCGACCATGAGGTATGATGGCGTCCGTCTGCCAGTAACTCACATTTACATATTCCCACAGCCGCACAAATGTCCTCATTCATTGTACCGTCCCTCACACACACTGTCCTGCTGAGTCACTCGTCTAATCAAAGATGGCTGTACCTCAATAAAGAGGTTTGTGTCCAGGTGAGTCAGACCCTCTCTCTCCAACACAGCCTCCTCTCAAACTCTCAGTAAGGTCAGCATACAGACCGACTCGCTGTTTTCAAGGAGAAACTCACCATCTGATCTACAATAAGCGCCGTAAAATATATTATTGATACGTCTGTGAAACATTTATTTAGTCTCAGTTAAAAGGTCTGTCTTGGACGCTCCAATCTGGCTCACAGAGATCCGCTTAAACATTTAAACTGGAACGATTAGAGCAACCCTCCGCTAAAACAAAAGGTCGAAAACCTGCAAAATAAAAATAAATACAGATGATTGCAGAATCTGGACATATTTGTAGCAAATGGAAAATGAAATAAAATGTGCAGCCGGTTCTTTGTTGAGTCACATTTTCAATCAGTTTCAACATTTCATTATTTCACTTCATGCCTGCCATCAGTTATAGTGAATCGTGAGCAAAGTTCGGCTGCCTTGGTGTTTTTTATTTTTCTATTTTCCTGAGATTTTCTCATTTGCTTCATCAATTCATTGGTAACAGAGATCCTTGAAAGGTTCAAAATGTCTCTTTAGGTCCTTGTAAAGATTTGATCTGTTGATTAGACTGTGGTCACTGGGTTTCCCCAGCTTGGAGTTTACCCAGAAGATGATCAAGCAATAAGAAAATGTATTGGAGGACCAAGCCTCTATTCTTTTATTTATTTATTTATGTATTTTTTGTGCAAATAATTAAATAATTGAATAATAGAAATGTAACTTTATTGATCTCACACTTGAGAAATTTACCTCTCCATTTCACCCATCCCCTTGGGGAGCAGTGGGCTGCCATCGTATGGCACCCAGGAAGCAGTGTGGGGTTAAGGGTGTTGCTCAAGAACCCAGAGTGGCAGTCTGTGGGAGTGGGTTTTGAACTCACAACCTCAGGAATCCAAGCTCTATGCCCACCGCCCTATAAGGCCCTATAACCACCGCCACTTCCACATACAAAATATGGAGAGCCATTTCATTCAAAATTAAATAAATAAATAAATTCTGTTATTATTACATTTTCAATAAATATTTCATTAAATAAATAAATAAATAAATATCCACATGAAAAAATTTAAATAATTTTTATTTTATTATATTTCAGGATTATTTATTTATTTAAAGATTTATTAATTACGTAATGTAGTAAATATTTTAAACATTTTAATCTATTTATTTCATAATGGAGGATTATTTTGTGTCTCTTTTATTTTGTAAAGCTACTTTACATGTTCAATTACTTATTTTTATTGTATTTTAGTGAGATGGAAATCCACGTGCAGCTGCAGCTACGCACTGGCACAGCAGTGATCCTGACTTTTATTGGCTACAAAAGAACAATAACAAATCTCTGACCATCAGCTGGTTCTCAACAGATCAGCGGTTCAGAAGTCCTTCCGAACCAGGAAACTGTTCCCCTGCCTTCAGTGGTTGCTCTTTGGCTGCTGACTGGACCAGAGCACATGTGTTCGGCTGCCTGATCGAGCACTCAGGGGGAATCTGAGTCAAAGACAGAGTTTGAAGGGCGCATAGTTCATGTTTTCATTGCATTTTTTTTCACGTATAGGTATAGTGAACAAGGTAAATGTGTTTCTGCATCTCATTAGATTTAAGATTAATCATATCCGCCTAATTTCAGTGTATTTTGACAGCTTTTAGTGTAACAAGCAGCTGTGCTTCAATGTGCAGGGAAAAAACTTTAGGGGGTTAAAGGGTTGACTCTTTTGGCCTAATTTCAGCATAGTGGCGAGAATTGTTAGATGCTTTTTAATATTATTAACACTCCTTCCTCTCATCCGCATTCTTACTTTAGAGGTAGAAGTCCTAATTAGTCAAAAGGGAAATAACACAATAATTCAGTGATCAAACCAACACAAAGGTGCATCAGCATTTAAAATTAACCAATAAAACCTCCCAGTCATGTTATTTGGAAAATAAATAAACAGCAACTGGCTTTAAAATGGTTGAAATGTTCAAAAATTGTTGCATTTTTTATGGCTTAAATTGGTTTACAGATTTATTCTGAGCGCAAAATTAATTCTTTCTTTCTTTCTTTCTGTCTTGTTTTCTTTCTTTCTTTCTTTTTTGTTTTCTTGTTTTCTTTCTTTCTTTATTTGTTTTCTTTCTTTATTTGTTTATTTTTCTTTCTTTCTTTCTTGTTTTCTTTCTTTCTTTCTTGTTTTCTTTCTTTCTGTGTTTCTTGTTTTCTTTCTGTCTTTCTTTTTTGTTTTCTTTCTTTCTTGTTTTCTTGTTTTCTTTCTTTCTTGTTTTCTTTCTTTCTTTAAATGTTTAATTCATATTAATATTTCTTGTTATGGCTCCTAGCTTTATTTTTATGCTCTTTTTTTAATGATCAGGCTGATTCAGATCAATAAAGTGATGATTGTAAAAAAGAACAAGCTTATTTCCCAACGACAGGATGTGCTGTTTGACGCGGTCATTTAGAGAATGAAAGCGAATCACGGTATCCGTTGGGGTTAAAGACCTCAGTGGCAGCTGGAATATATTATTTGGAGCAGCACATTTCCAGTGGGGGGGGGGGGCAGCAAACCTATTTGTTTAGTTAAAACCAGCTGTTAGCTTTTTTCTTTTGACGGCAATCTGAGCCACAGATTTTAGCGACAGATTCTGATGCTTTATGCAGCATAAAGCATCAGTTTTCCCATGATATCCAATTCATCCTAAACTTTGTGGTCAATAGGTTTTTCTAATCGATCCGTCTGTCTGTCTTGCTTCTCTCTTCACATGTGGACAAAGATGCTCTTTTTTACCAGCAGCTGATTTTTGGACCTCATCTTGGTCAAATGTAATGAATCGCTGGGAGTGCCTCTGTCTATGTGTGTGTGTGTGTGTGCAATCGGACCAAGATGAAGGTAGCTCTTGTTTCTCCTCGCCGATGCTCAGTGGTCCTACATAGCCTTTGACCTCATTAAGGAGCACTCGTGGAAAACAAAGCGAGTATCGGTGCGGGCAGCAGCTGTGCAAGAGGAACACAAGGAGGCTCGCACAAGTTTTCAGATATAAACTCCACTGTTTGTCTTGTTTTTCAGAGTACATGGATGCTTTATTAAAAGAGGGGTGTTTTGGGGGGGTGGGCCGTGCAGAGAAGTGTGTATGCGAGTGTGTTTCGTGGCTCTGCCTGCGCCCGATAAGAGGGGCATTTATCCATGATGACCAAGCAAAGCTGAGGTCCCAGTGACATGGGGGGAACAAAAACTACCTTTGTGCCCTTCTGCTCTACTGTAGACTACATGAATACGCACATTCATTACTGTCGGATAAAGGCCCGGCCTGTTTTATAGCATTTTCACGCGCTTCATTGTATGATAAGTTTGGCCCCGGTTGTAAGGAAACAACTGGCAGTGGAATGGGAACCTGCTGAAAGTGCGTTCTCATTGGAATAAAAAAAAATGCTCCAGTAGAGGAAAACAAAGTTTTTTTTAATTACCTTTGCATTACGGAATTATTCGTTCTTTTTGAAACTTTAATAGTTTCCATTGGGCTATTGTGTAAAATGTCATGTTTTTTTTAAAAGCAAAACTAAAGATAAAAGAATGTGGATCTTTACCCATCCCCTTTGCCTTGATACCCCTAAATATACTTCATTTCAATCATTGCCTCCAGAGAACTATTAGAGTCTTCTTGTTTTTAATTTAATCTTCAAGCTTTCTTTGAGGACACTTGACATAAAAAGCACCAATGAGAGTGAAAAACTCGCCAGAGGTCTGGGATTAAGTTTTGGAGAAGCTTAATGCATAAATGCTGATGAAGATTCCCAGTCATCAAGGTCATAGTCTTTCCGTAAAACTTAAAAAAGAAAAAAATCCACTGGACTTGGTTTCCAAGATTTTAAGACGTTTCGCTACCTCTCCAGGAAGCTTTCTCAATTCAAATGGATAGAAAGGTTTCAGATATTACAGGCTAACAATGGAACCAAACGACCCGCTCATGGGTTTCCATTTGCATGTTTCCAAGCAACACAAGGCCTTTTCTATATAAAGACTCAAACTCACTGCGGATCCAGACCTTTTGAATTGAGAAAGCTTCCTGCACAGGTGGCAAAACGTCTTCAAATCTTGGAAACCAAGTCCAGTGATTGTTTTTTTTTACTTTTACTGAATAATGCATAAATATTCAGAGTTTTAAACAGCTGAAATTTCTATGAACCGCTTAACCCATCATCTAAAAGCAACTGAGTATGGAATGCTTGCAAACCTAAGAAATGGCTGCCTAAGACCAGCCGGGGTGGGGCAATCATTTAACAGAAGGACTGGTTGCTATAAAAAGTGGTGATGAGGTAGTCTTAAGAAATCTGAAGATATGTTGGTAAAAAGAGACAAAAAAAACAAACTTTTTTTAAGCCTATGGGCAAAATATGGTATATCCCCAAGTAAAGCACGAGAGTGGCAGCATCATGCCGTGTTGTTGCAGTTCTCCAGTTGGGAAGGGAAGCTCTTCAGAGTTGATGGGAAGATGTATGACGCTAAACAAATCTACATAATGTGCTTTGTTTTCCGCACCATATTCCTTTAATTTTCCTAAACCAAAGAAAATAACCTGTGCCTTATTGTCCACTTAGTCTTAACCATGAGAAAAGTTCAAAAACAGACCATAACACAGGGCAGTGTGCCCTATAGTGCCGACAATACGGCATGGAATTTTAAGCAATGGTTAAATTCACTGTATGCGTCCAAATTCACAAAAAAACCACAATCGTTATAAAGCGAATAAGTGATTGAAATTGTCTGGGAATCAGATATTTATTTTAGTGAAACAGTTTTAGACAAAATGAAAGCCTAGTTTAAAACTATAGTTACATTTCTTTGTAACTCGGGGTG